GCCCAGATGCTTGCAATCACGTGCTCGCCTGCCTTTCTCGAATTTCGAAGCAGAAATTCGACAACGTTTCATTGGAGCAACTCTCCGTACTGTATTTCCAATCATGAGTTTTTATTTGGTTGTTGCCCAGAAAATAATATAAATTGAATAGTGAATTTCCGGGTAAAAAGGATTTGAAACATATTGGGAAAATTGGCGTTGCGTACGTAAAGTGCGTGTGTGCATATCTTATTATTGTGCTGCCTCAGCCAATATGTTCCAGTTCTTCAAAAATGAAGATACGAAAGACGCACTTAACGTATGTTGTTTACTACATGCGAATGCATGTATCCTGGTTATTCCTTTTGTACGTAGTTGCCTTGCATGATTTTCAGATGGGTTCAAAGTTATGTAATCTTATCGAGAATGTTGTAGGGACAATGCTTTCGAATTCCTCAAAGTTCTGGGAGTTCCGGGAAATAGGTTTGCAGTATTTTCGGAGCAATCAAGAGTCGGTTCATTCACGTACACAGTATGTAGACGTAGCTTCATAATAAAGTACGAGAACACGAGAAATAATCGCAGAACTTAATGATATTTATGATTAGGGAGTGCTTTGTTTGGTCAAAATAAAGAAGTGCAGCTTACAAACATTATCTTATTCTACATACCACATGCCGAAGCTATAACGTGACACACGGATCGAGAATTGTTATATATTAAATCGATGTTGGAACTTATGCGGTAATTTGCTTACCTAAGCGGGTACTGGAAGAACCACATTAGGTAATACGTAACCCCTAATGGGAGACAATGTGTCAATCGTATATTGTTTGCAATTTTTTTTTTAAAGAAAAGCAGAAAAAAGATTTTCTGATCTCGAGAAAAAAAAAAAACTGGACCGATGGAGAGAACCTACAAAGGAGATTCTTTGGGTGAGTATTGTGGCTTGCAAGCATTATGCTTAAATGAGTAAGTTATTGTTGGTAAGATCGATTGTTCTTTTTTTTTTTACAGGTGGTAAATTTAAGCCACAAAATTTTATTAAAGTTGACCTCAACTACATTCAAATTCAACCCACGAATCAATTGATTTCCTCGACGAAGGAGGCAAAAGTAGCATTCCTACTTCGCTATACGTCTCAGGCGATTTCCATTAGTCTCAATAATATGGAAGATGAGATCCTCATTCCGAT